CATATAAACTACTTTATAAAACAACAAGGATCTAACTCAATAAATTACTATAACTACACTCCACAGAACAGACTGTAGACCTAACATGAGGCTAATCAGAGATTTATCAGGTCCAAATTATCGGCCGTAGCAGGAATCACAGCTTGCGACTTCAGGTAGTCTAGGATTGGTGCCCAAGTATGAAACAGTTGTGATTTATAGGTGGTATGTGTTTCTCATAGGATTTTATCAGTCAATTTAGCAATTATAAAGCAGTCCCATATTCTATTTTGCCAAGCTGAGATAGAGGGATCCCTACTATCCTTCCACTTAGCTGCGATTTCCATCTTTGCTAAGGCAAGTAGAGTCAGAACTATGTTTGTTTGAAGATTGTAAAATAGACACTCTTCCGTTCCTCACCCAGCCGGACCGCGTCCTGGCAGCCCTGAAGAGGTACGTGCGGGCAGAGCAGAAAGACCAGCGTCACACCCTCCGCCACTACCAGCACGTGGCTGCCGCCGATCCCGAGAAGGCTGAACAAATGAAGTTTCAGGTGCGATTCTTCCCCTATGTGCTTCCCTCCCTGGAAAATCCTTTCCCCCACCAACCCTGCAGTGTTGGGTCTGCCTGTGGAACCCTGAACCCCTGCTGCCATTTTTCCCTAGGTGTACACCCACCTCCACGTCATTGAAGAACGGATGAATCAGAGCTTGGCCTTGCTGTACAAGAATCCCCAACTTGCTCAAGAGCTCCGTGGGGACATTGGTATGTACCATACCCCTTCATTTCCCAAGGGGTACTCTCTTTTTCTCTGCAACATCTCTAGTCTCTGCTGTTCCTGTAGGTCTCCTTCTCTTCTTCCTTCCCCTCCCTCTTGGACCAGAACCAATGGGCTGAAATTAAATCAGAAGAGTTTTCGGCTAAACATTAGGAAGAATTTCCTGACAGTTTGAGCAGTTCCTCAGTGGAACAGGCTTCTTCGGGAGGTGGTGGGCTCTCCTTCTTTGGAGGTTTTCAAACAGAGGCTAGATGGCCATCTGACAACAATGCTAATTCTGTGAACTCAGGCAGATCATGAGAGGGAGGGCAGGAAGGGTTGCATCAGTGCTTACTACTTGTGGCCCTTTCTTGCATTCCCAGGGAAATGCCGGTCACCACTTTGGAGTTAGGAGGAAATTGTTCTCCAGGCCAGTTTGGCCAGGGATCCTTGAGGGGGTGTGTGTGCCTTCTTCTGAGCATGGGAGGGGGGAGGTATTTGTGAGTATCCTGAATTGTGCATGGGGTTGGACTAGATGACCCTCACGGTCCCTTCCAACTCTATGATTCTGTGATACTCCTTCTGCCTCTTTAAACCAGGAATGGCTAGTTAATGTCTGGGAAACCCCTGCTCCAGTGACACAGGGTTGCCAACTAGGGGTTGGGAAATTCCTGGAGATTTGTGGGTAGGACCTCAGGAGGGCAGGGCTTAGGGAGAGGAGGGGCCTCAGCTGGGTATGGTCTCAGAGAGAGTCCACCTTCCCAAGCAGCCATTTCCTCCGGGGTAACTGTTCTCTGTGGTCTGGAGATTAGTGGTAACTCCCAGAGATCTCTAGGCCTCACCTGAAAGTTGACACTCTATAGCGCACCCCCTTGCTTACCACTAGCTGGAAACGAATGGCCTGACCCAGATCGTTTCTTCTAGTGGTTTCACCGGTTCTTATTTGGCCAGTTTCCCCCTCGGGTGCTAAGTGAAGGGACACCTTGCTGAGTTATTCACTTGTTCAAAACATTTTATACAACTTTGTTCAAAACGTTTTGCACAACTCAGGGGTCATTTCATAGAGAAAGAGGTGCAGGAGCTCATTAGCATAACTTATTATTTGCATAACTTATTTGTATGTGCCACGCCCCCTGACATCACTGGAAGTGTGTCAGAAGGCAACACCCACCACTCAGGCTCCACTTGGTCTTAAAGGTGCTACTGGACTGTTTTGGATTGCTAGCTATGGGGGGGGGGATGCGCAGATCTGCCCTCACAGAGGAGGGAGGGCTTGTACCTGAAGGCGGGCTGGGGGGGCTCTGGAACTTACCTGGCTGCTTCTTGTTCCTCGTGGCCCAACTGAGGGCTGCTGGGAGCAGGGGGGAGTGCTTGTTGCATGTGCCCGCCCCCTGGGTCCTTACTGCCGGAGCTCCGCTCCAGTGCACTCCCACAGGAAATGACCCCTGGTTGGTATCAAGCTTGAGCCTGAACCCATTTGGATTAACCCCTTATTTCTTGCGGATAGCTACCCATCAGGTTTGGTCAATGCAGCTGAGAATAAAATACAACTTTTCAGGTTCTCCACCTTAGCAGTCAGCCGTCTCGGATTCTTGAGAACTAAAGGGATGCTCAACGAATCTGGGAGACAGCTCTTCAACTTGACAGAGCTCGGGCACATCTCTGTCCAGTGCTAGGGAATCATAGCCAAAACCTTGTGCTGGCAAACTATTTTTACACTTTAGAAATACCCAAATACTGCAGAGCTTTTGCCCGAGCCCAACTATCTGCCCTCTGTGCTGTCGGGAGAATCTTACATATTCCCTACCCTCAACGTCTGTGTTTCTGCCAACTGAACACAGTCAAAAACATGGAACCTGTGTGATTGTATTGTCCATTTTATAAGGACATCCTTTCCACTTGCCTTGCCTCTGTTCTACCCGAGTACCCAGGAAGATATGAAAAATTCTATACATAACTGCTCCTTGCAGACCGCTCCAATGATACCACCTCTAAAGTGGCCGGTTTCTGTGCTGAGAGTCTTTCCGTAAGAAAGCAGATATTCCAGACTTTTAAATAACTTTTATGTATAATTAATTACAGCGCAATAAGATTATGAATTTTGATCTCCGGTTATGGATGTTACATCTATACGTAAACTGCGTTTTGTTGTTGAGTGATCTGTCGACCGTAATAAATGTTGATTGATTGAACATTTGATACAATGCTGCAACGTTTCCAGAACTGTCTTGCCCAAATATGAATGGCAATGAACAACCAGTAGATGAGCAGCGCTAAAACCAGAAAAAGGAAGGAGAGCCATTTAAAAAGCAGGCAGAGACTAAGCATTTCAACCAAATTAATACCCAGTCCTTGGGGGGGCATTTTGCCTTCTGCAAGTTGGAAGCGGCACCTTCTGTTCACCGATTCACTGTAGGGAATCGGAACAAGGGGCATTCCAGAGGTCTCTGGGGTGTTTGGGTGGCCTGGTACGAATCAAGGCGTTCAGCTCTTCGTCTTGAAAGGTTGAGCAAGGATTCTCAGGCTGTAGGCCTGGAGCCACCCAGAACCTTGTGGATGGGTTGGTATTAAGCCACTAGTGGGATGTTAAGGAAGAATACATTGCAAAGTGCTGAAGGGAATCTCCCCTTTGAAGTAAAGGATTACGTGTCAGGCGGGTCTTGAACCCTGGTTGATTCCCACGGGAGCGGCCTTAAAAGTTGGGGGACTGTCTATTATGTCCACCAGGGTTTTCCTCGGGGGGGGGGCAATAGCCTTCTCCCCTGGACCTGGGCCAGGTCAGCCCAGTGGCAAAAGGGAGGCATGCAAGCTGTCTGAATCTTATGTGGTGCTGGCAAGGCTGTGCACCGCCCTTCTGCCCCTGCCCAGGCCTTGAGCAGTGAGGTGGATGCTGCATGCTGCCCTTAAGAGGGCAGAGAGCCAGTTTGGTGTAGTGGTTAAGGGCAGCGGACTTTAATTTGGAGAACCGGGTTTGATTCCCCACTCCTCCACATGCAGCCAGCTGGGTGACCTGGGGTCAGTCACAGTTCTCTCAGAGCTCTCTCAACCCCACCTACCTCACAGGTTGTCTGTTGTGGGGAGGGGAAGGGAAGGAGATTGTAAGTTGCTCTGAGACTCCAGGTGAAGGGTGAGGTATAAATTCAACTCCCCTTCCTCCTCCTCCTGCTCTTCCTCCTCCTCTTCTTCTTCCTTTTCTTCTTTTTTCTGTCCTTTGGGTGGGCAGGTCTTGGGCAGGCAGGCCAGAAGTCTTCCCTTCCTTTTTTCTGTCCTTTGGGTGGGCAGGCAGGCCAGAAGTCTTCCCTTCCATCCTTTGGTGAGATGGAGCCAAGATGGCTGGTGGGGGTGGAGTTGTTTTCCTCTCCCAGTCCGCCCCTGTGGGGAACTCAGTTGGTAGGCTGCTGTATCCTAGCAGTTAGGAGTCTAACTGTTCATTCTGAGGTCAGAGTTATGCCCTCCTCAGCCCACAGGCTCAGAAGGCGCCTAACCGTTCAGAGCTTGCGTTGTAAGTCCGCTAGCTGCCTCTCAAAATGGCTGCCCTTCGGTCTTTACAGAGGAGCTGCTGCGATCTGAACGGGTGGCGACGAACGACCTGCTCACCACCTCCATCTCGGAGACGCGCACCACCGAGGAGTTCCTCCCTGTCGACAGTAGTGAAGACATGGGTGCTGAGAGTCATTCGTACCTGCGTGACGGAGAAGGTGAGTAGGAAGATAGTTGAAAGGGAGCAAAGCTTTGCTTAGGAGAGGGGTCTTTAACTCCTGGAGCATCGTGGTAGGTAGACTATCAATGGGGGGGCTGGTTCTTGGTGGCAGTGGGAGAGGGGTCAGCTTGGTGTGGGGGGGCAGGTCTATTTGTTCAGACGTCGCATCCATGGGAAGATCGCATAGCATGCAGGCAGGATCCCTCGGAACCATGTATGATTTTCAGTTTATTGGTCCTCTGGAGGGTATTTTGTATGGCCAGGGCTAGCCCTCCCCTGTTAACGGGCCTTGTTGATGCAGATCTGCTTTGTGTGGTTTGACTTTTTGTGAAATCCTCAAAAGGCGATCCTTATTGAGAGTTTTTAGGAATCTCATCATTTTGAATCCGGGGTTTGACAAGTCGTGCTGTGTAGTTAATTTCATTTTTGTTCCGGTTGTTTTTAATGAAAAGTTAAAGTGTGGTAGGTCGCCACCCTGTAGACCCCAGAATGGTCAGAATTGTACACCCACAGGAGTTTCTTTTCATTACCTGAGGGAACTGGAAACTTTTTCCGGTCCTGTTGACTAAAAGTCATTCCAGTATTTGAACCAGGATAAATCAAGGAGAACCCACTCCCCTCCCCAAATTAGTAATTCCGCAATCTCTGGTCACCTTTATTTTAGTTACAGTAAGGATTTATCTCCTATTAATGTACATGTTGTAGTCACATCTGAGGTAGCGAGAGGTTCGGGTGTATATTTGATGGTGCAGATGATGTCCTCTGGAGGGTCAGTTTTCCTTGTCGGTTTGCAAAATTCCTCTTTGGAATGGAGTTTGAGAGAGAATTTTCCTTGTGTTTGGAGGACTGTGTGGTTTGGGGACTTCTCTGCTTGCCTCTATTGGATCTGGGCTGTATGCTGCTCCTTCCCAATCTACCTCATGTTTGTAATCAGTGGCATAATTTGGACACGAAAGACATCCTGCTCAGCTCCTTTGGGGCAAAGTATTATAGTTAGAATTTGTCCTACGGCTGAAGTGAAATTTTGTGCCAAGTATTAAAAAATCTGATCCATTTTCCAGTTTCAAAATCTGAAATTTTTGCCCCTTTTCACAACAAAAGTTTTGGACTGAAACATGAGTTGTGCTACCAAATAAGAATAACACGTCCAATGCTCTGTGAAGCTCTAAAATCTACACTGCCATCTGGGATGGTTATAAGCCACTCTAAAAAGAACCTCTCTTTTCATTGGCTTTTGAGTTTATGATATCCTAATTGTTTTTTTAACTAGAGATTTGTAAAAAAAAAAAAAAAGTATGTGTGGTGTCAAGGAAAACATATGAGGGTTCCCCCCCTTTTCCCATAATGCTTTGGTACACTAGAGAAAGGTGATGGGGCAGTTGATTCAGGACAGACAAAAGCACTTCTTCACACGGCACAGAATTAATTGACAAAAAGTACTGTCTGTAAAGGGGAATTAGATGAATTCATGGAAGAGAGGCCCATCCGTGGCTACTAAATCATGAGGAATAAGTGGAACCTCCATGTTCAGAAGCAGTGTACTTCTGAATAACAGTTGTGAGGGGTAGTCATAGGAGGCCGCTTTGGCCTCTGTGACCTGCTTTAGGGCCTTGCTTGACTACTCTGGGAAGTTGGATGCTAAATTAAATGGGCTTTCGGTGTGCTCTTGCCGGGTTCTTCCTGAGCTTAGAGATTCACTCAAAATATGTCAAACATGACAGTTTCAGATTCTTATTTCCCACTGAAATTCAAAATTGAGGATTCATCTTCCTTTCCCATCTGCCGAATCTGTATCAGCTCTGATTTGGCTCCTCCGACATTTCAGTTGCCGCTCCGGCAATTAAATCATCTTTTAGCACAACTGTGCTAGGCCAGTTGAGGGATTACTTGACCCCGGGAAGCAGTAATGACCGTGGAAGGGTTTAGCTTTTGATCTCTTGCTTTAAAGCCGAGGAAATATTGGCTGCTTGGATTGAAGCAATGAAAAAAAAAAATGGACTTTTTTCCAAAAGTCTGTGTAATGAATATCAAGTCGCTTGGGCCTGATTCTGTAGGAGCAGCTGTAGGGTTTTCTAGTAGGATTTTACTGGAGTAACCTACATCAGTCCGCATGAACGGCTGAAGCTGCCTGACAAATCGGTCTATCGGCTCCCCAGCCTGGGGCTCACTTTCTGACCGGCAGGGCCTTTCCAAGGGCTCAGACCAAAATCTTTCCCATCCCTGCTACTTAAACTACATTTGGCATTCGTGTAGGACTTCCACAAACTTTTGTTTTGTTTGTTTATAAGTATTTATATCCTGCTTTTTCCCGCAAGGGGGGGACTAAAGCGTCTTACAGCAACAACTATGATAAGTATTGTGTAAAAAATGGCTTGAGTGAGTTAGCGTTCAATTGCTGGTTCGTCCCCAGGTGTGAACCGAGAAGGTCAAGCTACAAACTGTATTATACAAAAATACAAAATGCTTATTAGGGTGTACACATAACTAAAACATACAGCGGTTAAAAGAAATAGTCTAAGTTTTAGACTTAAAAGGCTTGTACAACCAAGTTAGTTATTATACAAATTGATGGGTAAAATCTTTTGACCTAAGGACCATATGCGTTTCGGCCCCTTCAGGCCTTCCTCAGTGGTCTAGACCAGAGGTCATTTCGGGGGGGATCACAGGGGATCGCAGTTCCCCCGGGTGAGGTACGGGGGGCGGGGCACATGACGAAGCCCCTCCCCCTGCCTTGAATGGGGAGGGACTTAGGGTTGCCAGGTTGGGAAACTCTTGGGGATTTGAAGGCATAGCCTGGGAAGGACAGGGAGCTCAGTGGATTCCATCCTTCAAAGCCTCCATGTTCTCCAGGGGAACTGATCGCTGTAGTCTGGAGATGAGCTGTAATTCTTGGGGATTCCCAGGCCCCACCTGAAGGTTGGCATCCCTAGCAGGGGATGTCAGCGGGGTACAATGCCATAGAGTTCGCCCTCCAAAACAGCCAAGGGGACTCATCTGGAGATGGTATGATTCTGGATCTCCAGGTCCCACCTGGAGGTTGCAACCCTAATTCGCAAGCCACAGGTGAGATCCCTGTGCCTTTTGCCCTTCAGCCCGCACCTCTGGTTATACCCCAAGGTTTACAGTGCCTGTAGGAAGAGGAAGGCAGACTTACCCTACCTGAAACGTGGTTGCTGCAGGTTTGCTGTAGGTCAGTCATGACATCCCTGTATTACAGATTGGGGGGGGGAGAGCATCTTGCCTAAGATCTGCCTGTTGATTTGGCCTAAGGAGCCTACCTGGGGTCTTCTTTTTTAACTGGAGGTGCCGCCGGGCAACTGAACCTGAACCTTTTGCATGCAAGTAGTGAGCTCTGCCATATTTATTTATTTATTTAAAACATTGATGCCACCTTTCCACCTGCTTGGGGTATGTGTGGAGCAGAAGATCCTTAGCAAGAGAGAGCTCATGAACAACATAGGCTTTGCAGCCATGGGAGAGACAGAGAAGGAGGGTTAGAAAAGGAGTTCATTATCTATCTAGTATATTCTTACTCTTCCTGTAAAGAGCCTCTGGGCCACATACATGGTTCTCTCCTCCCCATTTTATACTCTCAACAGCCCTTTGAGGTAGACTCTTCCTCCTGCATCCTTCTTATGAAAACTAATAACACAACTGCACTATCAGTGCCATTGTGAGCACGCTTTCCTGGGAGTAAGCCCCACTGAGTAGAGTGGAGTAGAATCCTGAGTAGAACTGGTGTTCTGGGCGTCCCACCTCCCAACAGGTATATTGGAACAGGAGATATTTGCTCATGTAAGCAGTAAAAAAAAATGCGTGAAAGGAACTGGAATTGTATTTGACATTTTTAGAAAGGGTTCTTTTCTGTAAAGAAGAAAGGATTTTGAGGAGTCGATCTAAAACAGAAGTGTGAAATACCCTGTTTCCCCGAAAATAAGACCTACCCCAAAAATAAGCCCTAGCAGGATTTCTATACATTTGTGGTATAAGCCCTAGTGTGTCTTCTTGAGAAAAAATAAATATAAGACAGTGTCTTATTTTCGGGGAAACACGGTATTTAGGTGGTCATTAGCCAATGGTGCCTAAGAAACAGTGCCTGGTGATTGACACTTGGGTTTTTGCTCTCTGGTCCCTAGCAAATCTCATCAACTTCTGAGATTTTTGAAAGGAGGGGGGAGGAATTGCATTCTTGCTCTGAACTGTATAGGATCTTGATGCTATTAGGACAAAGTGAGTAGAGAACAAGTTGAGCTAGAGGTCGCCCAAAAGAGTACTAAAAGCAAATGAGTAATGTTGTTAGACTAGGAGCAAAGCCTGTTGTGGAGGAAGACAACGAGCCCTAGAAAGACATGACGCAGGCGCCCCCGGTCCCCTGCTTTCTCCGCCATCATGACCCCCTGGAGTTGGGGCGAGGGAGTGGCCCGTGACCGGCTTCCCACCTGGGCGCATCCAGCGGCCTCCGGGCAACCTCCAACAGCCTCCGGCCTGGCAGTGTGCCAGCCCCCATCCAGTCAGAGGCTGTCCAGCTGCCGGTAGTCGGGCGCGGATGACCGCAGCAGCAGTAGCGGGATAGGGTTCGGCTTGAGGGCCCCCCACGCACACTGGAGTGCCTGACGCGTCCATCGTCCGGTCGCAGCCTGGGTGGCCACCTGTAAATGGGCGAGGATGACTGTGGCAGCGGCAGCAGCAGGATTGGGCTGAGCCCCCTCCCTCCCCCTGCTGGAGTGCCTGGACTGTCCATTGTCCGGTCTCACGCAGCCCAGGCAGCTACCCGTGGCCAGGTGAGGACAACCGCGGCGGCAGCACGATCGGGCTCAGGCCCCTGGCCGCTGGAGTGTCTGACCCATCCGTCTGCTCCAAGGAGAGTGAGGCTGAGATGCTGGGTGCCGCCTCTGTGTGTGGGGCCATGCCAAGAGAGGCAGCAACGCAGCCAGTGGAGCCAGACGCCCTGTGAGTGACACACCAGGGCGCCAACCAATTCGGGAGCGTGTGGAATGT